GGGAGGTCCGTCTGGGCCAAGTGCTTGCCCTGTGCCAGTTGTGCCCATGCTCCGATGTCTGGGAGCGCCTGCTTGGGATCCCCCGAGGAAAGCAGAGCCGCCCCAGGGGGAAGGGAACATCCCGTCACCGACCGCGTCTCCAGGAACGGAGGCCCCTTCCCTTCGGGGTGTCTGTGCAGCCGGCAGCGGGGAGGCTCAAAGGAAAAGTCGAGAGAGAAGCAGGTCCTGGGCCCGGCAGCAGCAGAGCTCAGCTGGAGGCAGGTCCGGGAGCTAAATCACGTTGTCAAAGAGCTGCATGGACCGCATGATGTTCTCATCCTGCAGGGAGGAGGTGAGAGGTGGCAGGGCTGGGCATGGAGCTGCTGTCTCAGTGGCTCTCCCCACATCCGGTTGCACCCCATGGCTCTCCTCTAGCAGCCCCAACCTACAGACTGGGATGGCCCCCCCAGAAGACGGGAGCCCTGGGGATGCTGCCTATAGGCAGGTTTCAAGCCCTAGAAGGACGCACGGCCCTCGTTATCCACACAGGGAAGGTGTCCCAGCCATGGTGGCTTTACCTTCTGGCAGGACTCCAGGAACTCCTCGATCGTCACCACACCGTCTTTGTTTCGGTCCATTTTCTGCAGACAAACACAGCACAGAGGGAATAGCAGGGACGGCCCCGGCTCCATTCACTGCTCCTCAGGAGAGCCAAGCACCCTCTCCGCAGGTCTTGCAGAGGATCTGACCCCCTGCATCCCTGCCTGCAGCTGACCCACACACCGTGCGGGGGCAGGATGGCCTTTTCTCTCCCTGGCTCCAGTGCAGCCCTGCAGAGCTGGAGGGAAGCAAAGCAGAGCTCCTCCTACCCCAACTACCTGGGGCAGGGGGGTATTCCAGGGTTCAAACCCCCTAGACACAAGTGAGCTTCTTGCTGTGCACCCTGCTTCATCCCCAGCATGAGGTGTTTTCTCCTGCTCCGTGCCAGATTTTGGGCACAGGCTGGCTCCAAGTCAGACCCTGCTCCCCCAGGGCATGCTCATTGCAGCTCACCTGGAAGAAGTTCTCCACGTGCTCCCGGGGCGCTTCCTCCCGCATGGCCGGGTAGGTGTATTTGCCCATCATGTCATAGATGGACTTCATGATGTCCAGCATTTCCTGGAGGGAAGGGGAGCAGAGCTGCAGTGTCAACCTGGATTCTTGCCTCCATTTGGTCCCCAACCCACACCACTTCTGTGATGCCCCCAAAGGACCCGCGGGGTGCTCATGTGTGTTCCTGCCACCTCTGTACCAGGTGCAGGTTTGTGTGTGTGTCCACACGCATGATGGAGCCACAAAGCAGCACGTCCCTTCACCCACCCTCCCAGGTGCTCAGTCCACCCTGCGCCCCAGAGACACCTCCCAACCCCAGTGCCATGGGGCCAGGATTGCTGATCCTGTACAAGGACCAGTTTGTAAAGCTGACCTAAGTAAATACTGATTTCCCCTTCTCCTACAGAGCTCAGCCCCTGAGTCCTGCTCTCATCCCTGCAGCCCTGTGCTGGCCCCAGCGATCCAGCGTGACCCCCCCAGTCCCACCTCTTTGGTGATGCAGCCGTCTTTGTTCAGGTCATATAAATTGAAGGCCCAGTTCAGGCGGTCATCAATGGTGCCCCGCAGGATGACGGACAGCCCAGACACAAAGTCCTGCAAGGATAGGGAAGGTGGACAGATGGGAGCTACTGCCACAAAGGGCTTTGTCGCCACGGAGGGCACAGCCCTGCTTGTCTGCAGAAGGTACATTCATCCCCAGAGCGGACGTGCCCTGTTGCTGGATCTGAGCTGACGTGGGAAATGTTCAGTGTCTAAAGGAGGCTGGTGGCAATCGATTGCTTGCTGACATGTCCCACATGGATCCCTTGGGAAGTGGCACCCAAGACACACACCAGGGCTTGCCACTCAGCCAAGACCCAGCCACAGCTCTGCCCGTCTGTTGGGTACCTACCAGACGCTCGCTAGTTTCTTTCCCACCCACCAGAAGCAGTAGAAATATTCTTTTTATTTCTTTTTCATTGTAGGAGGAAGTAGAAATCCCCCAAACCGCCTGATTCTGTGAGTCAGGACTTTAAGAAACTCTTCCAGCAACTGTGAAGCTCCCTATCAGTCTGCAAGCATCAGCAATGCTGCTCATACCCACATCCTGGCTCGTGGTGCCTGAACAGACATGCCCTCCCTGCCACACCACCATCCTCAGCCCCCACCACCGCCGTGGCTCACCTCGAAGCTGACGGAGCCGTCATGGTCAGTGTCGAAGGCGTTGAAGAGGAAGGTGGCGTACGTGCTGGAGTCTGGGAAGAGGAGATAGTGGCAGGGTGCCACTCAGAGACCCACAAACCTGCCGAAGCTGCCTGCCCTCACCATCACCCGTGCGAGTGCTTCAGGACAGGGACGGGCACAGGGACAGGGATGGGAATGGGGACCAGCACTCACCTCCCTGTGGGAAGAACTGTGAGTAGATCTGCTTGAAGTTTTCTTCATTAACGATGCCGCTTGGGCACTCCTGCCAGGGCAAGTCGCAGCGTCACCCCATCCGCATGGGCATGCCGTGGAGAGGGGCTGAGCACACACATGGAGCCGGGCTTGCCCGGGGCTCCTGTCCCCTAAAGCCTTGCAGATCTCCTTACATCCCTGCCCCAGCTCTTCCCCGAGCCCTGCACTGCCTGGCAGATGTGGCTGATGAGACTGGTTGAAATGTGCTCCTGATTTTGTGGGCTGGCAGCAGCACCCCTTTCTGGAGGGTCTGCCCTGGCACTGTGGAGCGATTCCCATGCTTGCAGAGCAGACAGCTCTCTACACCCAGGGAGGGGGTCTGCACCCCAGGCAGCCAGGCGAGCATGCGCACCCAAGGAAATGGGAATATCTCTCTGCAGAGCACAGGATCAGGCCTCCCTACTGAGCCCAAGGACCTCCTCAGAGGTGGGCACACCCCTGGAGGAAGCTGCGTCCCCAGCTCCTGCTATCCAAAGCTGTTCATGGCTGTACAAACAGCAATTGCTCTCTGCCTGCGCTCACCAGACATTTGGTGCCCAGCAACTGCAGACAGCTTCACTGTTCTTGTCTGCAGGAGCTTGCAGAAATAGGATAATCTGGTACTGGTAAAGCAGATATCCTATGGTCTTGGAGGGCTTGGGAGCTCTGACTTTCAGGGCATTCTTCCAGTCCACTTCTGATCTTACTATTTGCCTTTTCGTGGGGACCAATGCCAGAGCTGGGGCCTGATGGGGAACCAAGCCTGGGAGAGGGTGACTGGCCCCTTCCAGTGCAATGAAGCCTCAGGCAGACCTGAGACCTCCCATAGAGCCAGAGGCTCACACAGGGATCTGCTGCCTTTGGAGCTGGACTCTCTCCAGCCTGTGTCACCCACACAAGGACTAATCTGATAATTTGGTGCCTACAGCCCCTGAAAGGTTTTTCCATGCTGGAAAAAAGCCAAGGCAAGGTTAATGGTGGCAGCTAGCTTAGAGCTCCTAAGGCCTGACGTTATTGTCATCCCCAGGGTCATGAAACCCTTTGCAAACCCTGGGTACCATCAGCTGCAAAGCACCCTCTGAGGTGCACTGCAGGAGAGGACTAGCAAAGCTCGTCCAGGGTTACTCACGTTCTTGAAGCCTCGGTACAGGACCTGCAGCTCTTTGCGGGTGAACTTGGTCTGCTCTTGGAGCTGTTCCAGCCCCTCAGGGCGGTGGCAGACAGTGGAGAGCTCAAACTCATCTTCCACGCTGTCTGCAAGAAACCCGGGGGAAGAGAAGGCAGCTGAGGCCAACACCATCTTGCCCTGTCCTGCTGCTCGCCTCTGTGCTGGGGTGCCAGGAGCAGCCTTTTGCACAACACCCCCGGTCCCCTCACCCCTGGCCCAGGGTGACGCATGCTTGGGGTGCGCTGCCCAGCCAGAACTGGGTGTACGCCAGGACACTCAGAGACACCCTGGGCACAGGCCAGTGGCTGACATTGCGTATCAGCCTTCCAAGCCTACCTGCAGCCAGTGTCCCAGAGCTGCGACCAGGGGTCTCCTTCCCACCCCCCAGAATGGCTACAGAGCCCCCAGCTCTGCCGCTTGGCACAGATAGTGCCCCACATCACCTGGGCCCACAGCCGTGGGGAGGCTCAGGCCCTGACCCCTCCATACTCACCTCTTCCCTTGGTGGGGGACCAGCTCGCACGGCGGGGCAGGGGCCCAGTGCCCATCCGGGGACTCAGGCTCAGGGAGGAGCCAAGAGCACCCAGTGCAAGGACCGGACTCACGGGCTGCTGGGGGGCTTTGTGCAGCTCTGCACTCGCTCTCTCTCAGCCCCATCCCTCCCCATCACACCTCCATCTCCAAACCAAGGCTGAGCTTCAAGCAAACCCCCCCCTCCAGCCCCTAGACCAGCTCCAGGAGTGTCCTGCAACATAGCCCAGAGCCAGCTCCACTCCAGAGCGGGTCTAGCCACTGGTGGGCAGCTCTGAATCCCACAGGAGCCCCTCCAGGGAGCTGGAAACAGCCTGGAAGCGGGCAAGGATGGAGGTGGGTGCAAAGCCCATCGGATTGGACCCCTCCGGGACAGGACTGTTCCTGACACCCCCAGCTCCAAGGCAGGGGGGCAGCAGAACCATCCCCTTCCTGCAGGCAGGGCCATGGCAGAGGGCAGCCAGCAGCACCGCTGGGGACACACACACACAAAGGCAAGAAGAAGCACTTGCTTTCGCTGAGCGAGGGGATGGATTTGGGCCGGCAGCAGGGCAGCAGTTTGAGGAATCGCTGCTTCAGCGCTTTTTTAGTTTGGCCTGGCGGGTTGCCTGGAAGAAAGAAGGAGTCACCAAGCAGAAGAAGTGTTAACAGAGCAGCAGCCCCCGGACCCAGCCGGTAGCAGGGCCAGGGCACCCGGCGCAGGGTGAGCAGGGCCAGAGGCAGCACATGCAGCGTGGGGGACAGAGCAGGAAGGCAAAGCCCGGCCCAGGGTCTGCTTGGCCTTTCTGCTTCGTCCCAGGACAAACCCGGCACTGGCGTTTCTGTCCTTGGGAAGCTCCCAAGGCCCCAAAGGAAGCTGATGACAAATGGGTGACTCTCCTGGGCTACCGAGACCCAGGCGCTCTGTGTGCCTCATTTGGGATGCACTGGAGACACCCCACAGCCCTGAGATGGGGGACATGGCAGGGACAGACTGTGCCTATTAGCCCCAAGGCCGAACGCCTGCTCCTTAGGGAACCTCCCCTCCGCACAGGGCTGTGCAAGGAGGCAGAGCTGGGGTAGGACGAAGCCCAAGACAAGACATGTTGAGAAATGACTTGCATCTGAGCCAGGGGTTTGGATCCTCCCATCGGGACTGGAGGGGAACCCCATGGCTTGGGGCCGGGTTTGACCCTACTGGCACGCGACGGCTGCATGCAAACCATGTGCTGAACCCAGCCATGCACCCCAGACTGCGACATGCACCCCCATCCCAGCGTGGCACTGGGATCTGAGCCCAAGGCCCTGGTTTGAGACAGCCAGAAGGGGATGAGGCGCAGGGCTTCTGCTTTGGCCAGCCTATGGGGCAGGGACAAGGGGTTCCCCACTTCAGCCTGCCCCCCCAAGCATCCCTTCCAAGTGGCTCCTGTGTTGGCAGTGAGGGGACCCCCCTGCTGCCCCTCTGACCCCAATCCTGACCCCATGATTTTGCTCTGACCCATCTCTTCCTAGCGGGTGCTGCCCCATGGCTGCAGACCTACTCCGTCCCTTCAAGCAGGGCCCTGCAGACTGCCTCAAGCCAGCAATCTCAGCACAGGACTAACACCACAGGCAGGGAGGGGAGGAAGAGGACAGGATGAAGGCCATGCTGGGCTCCACCCCCTAAAGGGATGCGGACAGCTGTGTTGGGCACGAATGGGATGAAAAGTGCAAAGTCCCTTTGGCACCACGTTTGCTCTAAGGGCCCTGGACCCTGCAAGCAGCCTACCCCAAGGTCATGATGCCTGCCCATCCTGAACCCCAGTTTTTGGGTTGTTTCTCTATATGGCTAGCAGGAGATAGGACTTCTCCACCATTTTTCTCAGCCCTCTGAGGCTGAGCTGTGCCCCAGGTGCTGGGGAAATGGTGCCGTGCAGGATCCAATTCCAGCATCCAGCAGCTTCCGACCCTGGCCAGAGGGGCCAGTGCCTGGGTGCCCCTGGGCAGGGCCACAGACCCTTTGCACTCTCACTAAGGCAGTCAGCTGGTGCTGGGGCAGCTAGCTCAGTCACCCTTAGGGGATGGAGCACAGCTCCAGGAGGTTGGTGTCCACCCCAGCATCATGCAAAGTCCCTCAGAGAGAGCAAACAGGGATGCATAAATGCACAGCCTGGCATTTGTTACGGGGCAACACAGGCAGGGGTGAAGACCAGGATCTTGGTGCTCACAGGACAGCACGACATGGCCCTGTCCACTCTAGGGTTGTGGACATGGGAGGAAAGGGGCTTTAATTTATTAGAAGGGGGCATAGCCATAAAATATGCTTTTATCCCAGCTACTTTTCTGGGGCTTCCGTTTGCAGAGGGAAAAGGAAATTGCACCTTTCAACTTTCCAGGGATGTTCTGGGCCCAGGTCTCCTCCCAGCAGAGTAGAGCCGTGGGAATAGACCTCGGAAGTTGGAGCAGTCCTCTAACCCAGCAGGAAAAGACAGGACAGGCAGAGCAACACTCAACGCAAGTGTGATGAATCAAGGGAGGGAGCAGGGTGGGAGGGAAACCACACAGCGAGAGAGAGATGCAACAGAGAGTAAACTGTGGTTGGACTCACAGGGGCAGCAGGTATAGGCACGTGCAGTAGGTCAGGTCGGGTGCAAGTTACACTTTAGTTTGTTATAAAGGAGGAAAAAGAAAAAAAATAAAGAACATGGGTGTTTTCTTAAGGAGGAAACCGAACGGGGCCCAATTCCAGGGGACCCAGGGCAAGGGTGGGAGCAAGTTCAGCACATGCAGCTTAACAACAGGAGAGGGGGTGACCAGGGCTGGGGTTTTGCTGTCCTGGCTTTGGTGTGCCCATCTCCAGGAGAGGGCTCCACTGGAGAGGACGTGCTCTCCCCTTTCCACCCCAGGACTCAAACCACGAGCAAGTCTCCAGGGCCCAGATGGGCTCCGCCTCGCTGGGAAACACGGCTTTGCCCAAACACAGGAAGCAGCTCCCAGACACGATCTGCCCCACCGGGGCTCATGAGAAGGGCCCCGAATTCCTACCACTACCAGCCCCCAGCAGAAACAGCTCCTTTTCTGAATGTCACTTTGCCCTCCACCCACCCGCAAAAGCTATCAAGTCGCTGGCACAAAACAAGCAAACAGAAAGCGCTGACAGCGTTTTATTTGCTGCCGGAGGTCTGCCAGGTTAAGTGGCTCGTCGCTTCCCATGCATCACTCCCCAGCCTGGTGACTTCAAACATACACACACGCGCCAAGCCTCCATCCTTGGGCGACACTGAAAGAAAATAGGATCTCCCATCCCCGCCTCCGCACGCTGTTGAAATGAATCCGTGCAGTCGCTGGAAACTGGCTCTGCAAAGGCACCCAGTGCTCAATAAAGGGACCCACAGCATCCTGCGGGCACACCCCGGGTGATCCCCACTGGGGCAGCCGGTGCATAACCGTGTCCCTGCCCTCCCCACAGAGGCACGCTCATTGGGGCTCTCCCCAGTGGCACAGTCTGCAAACCCCCCAGGAAGAAGAAAGCCCAACACAGAGACAGCAGATCTCCAGCCGCAGAGACAACCTGCCCCGTTCCACAGCCCCCTTCTGCTGGAAAAGTCTCTGCAATAACCACCCGGGTTAACTCTCAGTAACTCATCAATAAACACATTGCCATGACAGGTGGCAGACATGCAAGCAAGTGGCTTTAAGTCCCCTAAATATAGGCCAGGCTGCGTTTCATCCTACCTGCTCTTTTTCGCTGGACTGGTGTCTCTGGATGGGTTGGTTTCCCCAAAGCTGACATGGGAGCCAAGGGCAGAGCCCAAACCCGTCTCTGCCCTGCGGTGAGCAGCGCCTGGGGAGGGAAAGGTGCTGGACCACCTCAGCACCAGGACCTCAGCCCTAACAATTGGCAAGCCCTGCTGCATCCCATGGCAGCAAGACCCCCCACCCCAGTTTTCCCTAGCTCCCTGCAGGTCTCTTCTCAGCTCCTGGCCATGGCACAATGCTCTCGAGCACTTCTTCAGGGTGGGAACAGAGCACCAGCAGCAGGTCCCCTGCCTCAGGGTGGGAAAAGCAGCTCCCAAAGCCTGTGTTTGCCCCCTATAGGGCAACACTGGGTGGATCGGGATTGGGGTGGGGGGAGATGCAGGAGGAGCTGGTAGCTCAAGGATGGTCTGCCTTAGGGGCAAGGCTGAGCAGAGGAGGGCAGCAGGGTGAGAAGACCCCCTGCCTTTTCAGAGAGTCCAGCTGGGAAGCAGGAAGGTGACCCCCACTGTGGTGGGACCAGCTGGAAAAAGGGGCAGGGCAGGCCCACAGGAGCATGAGGAGAGAGGGGATCAGTGGCTCCCGGATGTGTCTGCAGGAACATCTTCCTTTCAGGAATGAGAGAAGAGCCTCTGTCCCCTCCCAGAGCACTGCCTTTTCCTGGGGGAAGAGGGCTAGAGACACATGCCTGTGCTCCCCTTGCCTGGTGACAGCCCTGGGACTGGCAGCGCAGCCATGCTGAGCCCAAAGGCCTCCTCTGTGGTCTACCCTGCAGCCTGCTCTCCTAGGACCCACAGCACTCCTGGGTCTGCTCTGAAGACCAGTGGGAGGAGAGACAGCAAGGTCCCCCAGCCACCCAGGGGGTGTCAGGAGGGGTCTTGCCAAGCTCTGCAAATGACCCTCATCAGTCAGCGGTGTCAGAGCAGAGGGTAACCAGGGCCAGGGTGCCTGCAGCAGCCACTGGGGCCAGAAGGCAGCAGACGGTCATTCGCTAGGGGAATGAAATCAGAGTTGGCTTCTCCCAGGGCAGAGGATGGAGTCCCTGTCCTGCAGCGACACAGCCTCAGCCTGGGGCACCCGCAGCGCAGCCGGGCTGGCAGAGAGCATGCAGCGTAACCAAGGCTGGGAGCAGACCTGCGGTTCATGGGACAGCAGAGGCCCCGGGACTCGGCTGTTCCCTTGCGCCAGGGAGGCAAGAGTGGCTGCGTGAGCCTTGTGTCGAGTGGGGCACAGGCCAGAGCTGGCCACAGAGATCAGAGCCCAAAGGAGACATATGCAGAAAAATTGTTTCTTAGGCCATATGATGTGTGAAATACTGCAAGGAGGGAACAGGACTGTCTGCGAGACTGGATACAGACATCAAAGGGCTGTGGAGCTCAGGGGCTCCCCAAAAGCTGGTGGGGCAGGCAAGGCTGTGAGACGGGGACAGTCATGTGCATCACCGTACTTCGAAGCCCATGCGCAGGGACACAGACCTGGTGCTCTGCATACGCCAGGCAGAGCCCCCAGACCTGCCCCATATTTTGCCATCCATACCCCCCACAGCAAGGCACAAGGGCCGAGTTTGGTCACATCTCAGCCACAGGCCAGTCAGGTTCTGGGCAGCCCAGCAACGTCCTCAAACCCAAGCAGCATAAAGCACCTTCTGGGCAAGGCTCCCTCCTCCTCTTCCCGCGCTCAGCCACCGATTGCTCCTCTGATCACTGCTTTCTGCACGTCCTCCCATCCCCTTGATCTGGCTGTGACCTGCAGCCAGCATCCCCGGAGCCAGCCTGGAGGCCAAGGGGATGGGGAGAGGGAGGCTTGCAATCCCCCAAATCACACTCATTACCAGCTGTGCGAGGTCTGCAGCAGGCCCATCCGCAGCGCAGACTAGGAAGGTGGCCAAAGGAAACAAGCCAGCAGCACCCACGCACTGCTCTGCACCCCTACCACCTCCAGGCACAACCAACAGGTCCCGCAGCTCTTGCTCTGACATGTTTTGAGCCCTGTTGCCTGGGCATATCCAGCCCTCTGTCCTCAACACCCACCTGCCCATCCAGGGGGCTCAGCACACATAGCAGCCCCTTCTCCCCATCCCTGGCACAGCCCCATAGGGAACAGGAAGGGGCTGGGGGCTCAAGCCCCTCTCAGTCACACTGCCCCCCCAGCTGCCAACTGCTGCAGCTCAACACAAGAAACCAAGACGGTGGGGAAAGCTTTCCCTGTGCAATGCCATCCCCTACCCTTGGTCCCTCTATGGGGCACAGCACCCACCCCACACCACCACTGGTTCCTGCCCTTGTCCTCCAGAACCCCCCCCCCCCCGCGCCAAAGTGGTGGGGGGGGGGGGGGGAGGGGGAATCGGGGCTCCCAGCTGCTCCTTCGGGCCAGACCACAGGCAGGCAGGCAGGGCAGAGGAAAGACCCTCCCCACAAGCCCATGCACTCCTCACGCCAGGTTCCTTGTCTCAGCCTTTTCTCAAATGCTCCACCCATGGCCCTGCCCCACTGTCAGATGGCCCCCACATACCCCACATCCTTCCCTCGCTGCCCCCAAACCACCTCTCCCAAACCCAACCCCACAGCCCTTCTCCCCATCATGTCAGACCCCGTCCCACCCAGCACCTCACACCCCCATTGCCCCAGGCACACCCATCCCAACACCCCACATAGCCACAATCCCCCAGCACCCCAGACATTCCTGCACCCCAATGGCAATACCCCAGATACCCCCCACCCTGACACCCCCACTCTCCACAGCAACCTGAATTCCAGTAACCCATAGCCCAATGCCCCCAGATACCCCTACTGCACCCACACTCTAGTACCCCCAAACACAACCCAACCTCTAGACACTCTCACTTCTCCAGCTCCCTGCACCCCAGTGCCATAGATGCCTAGACATTCTCCCACACCCTAATGCGCCACAGACATCCCAAAAACACACCAGTCTTTCTCGGCCTCCTCCAAACAACTGCATAAACCGCCCTGGCATAGAGGAGTTGCTCCTCACTTCCTAAGCATCCCTATCCCACCTGCATCCCCATTGCATCCCCATCCCCATCCCACCTGCATCCCCATCCCCGTCCCACCTCCCCCGGCCAGGTCGATGACGCCCAGGGTGTGGAGCAGCTTGAGGCCAGAGCAGAGCAGCAGGATGATGCCCACCGTTTGCAGTCCCTGCAGGTCCCAGGGCACGCCAGGAGCCACCATCCCCAGGCTGCACAGCCCCAGCAGGCAGCTGGTCTGGCAGCAACAGACCCAGCACGGAAGGAGAGGCCTCCCTCTTCCCGCCTCTGTACCCTTCGAGGTCCCTCCAGGGCACCCAGGCTGCAGGGGAGGGGAGAGGGCTTGCATGTGCCCAAGGGACTGAGGGGCTACCTCAGACCCCAGGTCCCCTAGACTCCCACTCTCTGTCATCCCTGCCGCAGCTTGACACCTACACAGCCTGGCACAGGCAACCCACAGCCCTGGAAAGCTGTACTGTGGGGCCAGAGGGGTGCAGGAAGGGTGCAGAGCTGGTGCCAATGCATGGGTGGAGGACGCTTGGCTGCCCCTTACTCCCACCCCAGCAGCAGTGGGCAGTGACATTGACCCTGGGGCCGAGCTGCGCACCCAGACCCTCGAGCTCTTCACTCAGCATCCCCTGAGACACTGCTTCCACCCTGCTGCTGGCCAGCCCAGGGAGCAGCTGTGTCCCAAACAGCCCCCCCTGCAATACCACTCCTAAGCCCCCCACCTTGTATGCAGCCACAGCTCCATACAAGGAGGTGGACACAGCCCCCAGCTCTGCCCTGGCCACCAGCCTCTCTCTCTGTGCCACTGCGGGACCTCTCTACCGTGGAGGTGGGAGTCTCTGCCTTGCTGTTCCCCATCCCTCCAATGTCCCCTCAGCTTCAGAGCTCAGCCTCGTTTGCTAATTCTTTCCCTGCACACCTTCCACCCTCACCTGCTCCCTCCTCACCTCCTGAGCAAATACCTGCATCTCTCTGCACTAGGGCTTTGCATCCAGCTACCGACAAAATTACAGTCCCTCGTCACAAGCAGGCAGTGCTGCACCCCATGGCCAGGTATGCACAACCCTTCTCCTGCCACAGCCGCTGTGCACAGCGGGCAGAATAAGAAAGCAGCTGCCCAGCCCGGCTGGCTGCAAGATGGGATCCCAAAGGCAGTCCTGCCTTGCCACTCCATCGCACAGAGCTCTCCAGGGACAAGGGCAATGCTCTGACACCCAGACACCCACCCTGCAAAAACAGGTTAAAACAGAAATGCTCTCCTGGCCATGGAAATGTAGCCCCATTTATGGGGGCTTGGGGGCCACAGCCACTACCAACAGCACAGATCCCTGGGGCTTAAAACGAAGGCTGAAACCGCATCCACGCCAAGGCACCCTTGGCATCCTGGCTGGGCAGTGCACACGCATGTGGCACCTACTGGCTCTGCAGTGGGACACGCAGGTCACAGCCATGCACAAGGTCTGCAGCTCTGCTCCGGGGCAGGGCAGTGAGCAGGCACCGCCAGCCAGGGCTGGGGGCTCGCTGCCCAGAGCCCCGTCTCACAGGCAGCAGAGCCAAGACCCTAGCCTGGGGTTGGCGGTTATTGAACAGTCTCCTTGAGCCTGTTGTCTACGCATCTCTCATCTAAGAGCTACTTTTGATCTGACCACCCTGTGCTCCTGTTCCAGCGGCACAGAGAGCCCCTGGGCAGGTGTCTTCGAGAAACGAGACACATTTGCCTGCTGCCCTCCCAGCAGCGCTGGGAGGGGGCACTGCAGCCAAGCTACCCAAGGGGACATCGGCTCCCTCCCTGCCTGTCCTGGCACAACCAGGGCAAGAGATGCTACCCAGGGCTGCACCACAGTACCCATCAGCCACCTGCACACTGGGGATCACAACCCCACAGAGGCCTCATCGGGGGCACTTCTGCTTCCATATGTGCCCAGACTGGGGTCTAACCCTGCCCCTGACAGGAGAAAGGTGAAGGAAACACTATTCAGACTTCACAGCACCCTTCAGACTCCTGCATTGCTGAGCCCAGCACAAACTCACACTAGAGAGCCCCAGACCATTTCCAAACCAACCTTCCCCCAAACTTGGATTTCACTCAGAGTTTTTGTCCTGGCCCTTCTCACCTTGCAGAGACCCTGAGCATCATGGTGATGTCTGGGCCAGGACCCCTAGACAGCAAGCCCCATGCCCAGCCCTGCATTGGCCAGCTATGACAGAGCAGAGCTGCAAGATGGGCTGTCCCACAGGCTCATTTATTCTCTAGAAGATTTAATGCTTTATTTCTAGCCTGCAGTTTTCCCACCTCCTCACGGAGGAGTGATCTTCCTGCCCCTGCACTGGCTGGCTCAGAGCCCGTTTCTAAGGCAGGCTATAGCAGAGTGTGGCCACCAGCTTCTTTTCCAGCCAGGTCCCCTTGCTCCCCGCTCAGGGCATGCCAGCAACAGAGAGACAGAGCCAGGCCAGAGGGAATTGGGAGGGAAGTGGTGTGAAAAGTGATTAACATGAGGCCGGAGGGAGAAAAGATTCAACAAGCTAATTACGTCTGGCTGGGCTGAGCAGGACGTGACACCGAGCCATGGCAGAGCCAGCGGGGTGCACACTGCGGCACTGCAGTCCTCAGGGGTGCAGGGTAGGTCAGTGCCGGGAAGAGCCACCCTGGCTTGGCCCTAGCCTGCAGCAAGCTGCAAGGAAGGGGCGGGGGACGCAGCACCCCAGGGCTAAGCTCCCTTCCTTCCCAGCTTCATCTTGTCTTCTTAAATAGACAGCTTTTCTGGACTGCATTTCTGTGCTCCAAGAACTACCCTACCTGCAGCCAGCTCGCATTGACCTCTCCGATCTGTCAGACCCGCCAGGATTGATGCCCTGACCCCTGGCACCATGCCCCAAAGAGCCAGTCCTTCTCACAGCCAAGACGCCACACTGCTGCCAAAGGCATTCCTTGAAAGCAGGAGGAGACCTGGGCTTGGCTCGGGGCTTTACTCTCGCCAGCAAAACAGGCTCGTGGCCTCACAGGTTTCCTCTGCAAACACCTCGCTGCTGGGCACGCAGGCCCTCCAACCCCCGTTCTGTCCCCTGCTCTTGGCAGCGGGAGCCTCGTGCTGAGCTGGGAAGTGATTGTGCTGCTCACTGCATCCCTCCTGCTCAGCATCCTCCGGGGGTGGCACCCAGGCCAGCTGCTGCTTCCTTCCAAGGACCCCACGTGCCCCCAGGCTCCTGGAAGGGTTTGGCAGCCTCCCCAGCCCTGCCTGCTCCTCTGCTTCCAAAACCCCAGCGCACTGGGGAAGGCAGGGGCCAGAGCACCCCATGTTGGGGGCGATCCAGGATGACCACCCTCGTCCCCATGCCACAGATGGGCCCTGGCCCGGCCTGGGCAGCGGGAGCCCTGCCAGCCCTGGGCAGGCACTAATTATCCTGTCGATTACAACCTGCAGCTTCATCTAATATTCATCTGAGGCTCGGTTACACGCGTGGCTCTCCCAGCCTTTTATCTCCTTCTAACTGCCTGCCCACCCCTCCTACCAGCCGGGACCAATTGCTCCTGGCTGAATTATTGATACTGCACTTCAAGAGCCAAAATCGATAGAGCTTTTCTTTGCCTCCCCTCTCCCGAGTGCTCGGGCAAAGCAGGATCTCAGCACAGGAGGTGGGATTGGGCAGCACGTGAGCCCCTTGACAGCAGAGCAGCTCACGGGTGGCTCCGCCAGGGAATATTTGGGACTGGGGACAGGCACGGCCAAGATTGGCAACACAGGGCAGAAGCAGGGCGATACCGGCCCGTCAGTGATTAACCAGCTGCTAAACGCCACCAGCTAGCTCGGCATTGCTCGCTGGGGCTTCCTGGAGCACAATGCACCCGTGGGAGACGGAGCTGGCCACCTCCACTGCCAGCGCAGGCTGCTGCTGGGGGCAGGCTCCAGATGTGTCACCGAGGCTGGGGCTGTGATCTGAGGGGAGACAGCACCAAGGGGAAAGGAGGTGCAGACAAACCAGGTCTCCTGTCCAAGCCTTTGCGCAGATCAGGACCAACTCCAAATTGGGGCTAAGTTGCTCACAGCCCCATCCAGCTGAGTTTCAGAGCCCTCCAAGACTGCAGATCCCCCATCTCCTCTCACTCCCCCAGGGTGGTGGATGGAGGTCTTGTTGCAAGAGCTCCCCCAAGCCAGCGGCATTTTGCAGGTCTCATGTCTCCTTTGGAGAAGTTCCTTCCCCAGCCCACCACCATGGTGGCACAACACCTCCCAGCACAGACTGACCCAGGCAAACACCAGCCCAGCCTGGGCAGGCACACAGCCATGCATGGGGGACAGAGTAGAGAGGACAGGACTTTAAGGGTGATGCCCACCACACCATAGCTGGACACCACATGGCTCTCACAGAGCCCCCAGCCTATCCAGAAGGGCTGGACACTGTCCCTGCTGGGGACCCCTTCAGAGAGCTGCAGATGGACAGCAACAGAGCCACAGCACTGTACCACCTGCCCCAAACACCAGAAACCCATAAGGGGGGGGGGGGGGGGAGTGGCAGGGGGCCTGGCAGCACCATGCAAGAGCACCGCCAGGGCAGTGACACAGATTCCTGAGCACCTAGCAGCTGCCTCCAAGCTGGGACACGGCAGCAGGTGCAAAAGGAGATGGGAACAGGGCAAAGAGGAGCTCGCAGGACCCAGCCTGGAGGCAGAGCCGAGTGGGCAAGGATGGTCGCCACAGAAGACATGACATCTCTGCAGGGGCCGGCTCCCCGGGCTGGGGAAGCGCAGTAGGCAGCGTCGATGGCTCCAGAACAGACGGCAGGGCCCCACGTCCATTAGCAGACCTGAGCCATTAGTATACGGTTTCAGGCTCTTTGCAGTCCCTGGGCTGCCACTGCGGGCCCAGGCACAGCTGGTGAATGACACCAGGGCAGGGGCGAGCCGGGCAGGGGACACGGAACGGCTGCTCCGTCCTTCCCCCAGAGACCCGTTTGACTCCAGTCAGCAGTGCCAGCTACAGCACCCAGGGGACAGGGAAGGACTCAGCCACATCCCCAAGGCAGCACCTTCTTGCTCAGGCCCCAGTTGGGCCTCACACCGCACGGACACTGCTCCCAAGAGAGCAAAGTCTCCTACCTGCCACCTCCTGCCTTCCCAAGCCAGGGATGAGCCACACAACCAGCGGCAGAAACCCACTGTCTTCCTAACACAAGGCCAGTCACCTGCCAAAGGCACAG